TGTTACAGAAGTTTCATAAAATAGACCTAATTCTTGTTACATGCAATGCCCACTATTATTTTCTATTACTTTTTCCTCCTCTTGGAAATACTTTTAAGAAGCTGTTCTAATAATCTAAGCAAGCAAAGATTGAGAACTAAATTTTATGACACCTGAATATGGGTGTCGAGACCCCTCATCTTCTCCCCGATGTGCTAGATGAATAAATGAGAGTGATCTACTTTCAGAGAAATGGAAGAGCCTATTCCAGTTCCGCTAAGAAGCAGTTAATTTTATAAACCCCATGCATGATTTCTATTGCGTCTTGTGGTAAGAGATTGTGATCCCATTGAGGGCAGAAAGTCCAATTTTTTGGTTCATTAGGACAGCATTGGCATCTTGGTGGCACCTTCATCCTTTGTAGGGCAAAGAAGCTTAGGCTGAGAAACAGTAGCAAACTTCACCTAGGTAGTATGTGTGCCCCCACAGTTGATCAGAGTCCCCTGGAAAATATCTCCTCTTCCTGTGCCCGTTGTCTCAGGAACAGACTGCCTGCATCACAGAAGGTGACGGTCAGAATGGCCATCATGCTTGCCTTCTTCTTTTCTTTCTGTCAGGATCACTACTGTCTTTCTTTCCCTTCCAGAGCTGCTATCTGCTCTCACTGCTGAGGTCTTCTTACAGGACTGGATCCAAAATGGGGCTCAGTCTCAGCTTCCTTCTCCTTGCTGTATCTGAAAGAGAGGGCTCTAACATTTTCGGTTTAAGGGCTTCACTGCTAGCCAGAGAGCAAGCAACAAACCATCAAGCATGGGAGTCACAAAAACGATTGCCAGAATCTCAACGTTTTTTTCTCCTAGTGCCTAGAGCAGTCTGTTGGTGACCCCCACCCCTTCCTGCCTCCCTTCCCTACTTCCGCCCTTTCTCCAGATTAGGTGTTCCACTTCCCGCTTGCAGGTCTAAAGGCACGATTAATAGTTGAACAATAAATGACTTAGTCACCCTCCAGGTTATGGATGGCCAGAGCATTCCAGAAGAGTGACTGTCAGTGTTTCCCCTTCTTCACACAGGAAATAAATGACCTCAGGCTTCTCCCTCACAGTTACTCATGTATCAAAACTTCTTAAAAATTCTGGAAGGAGGGGCGACTGGGTGGCTCAGTGGGTTAAGCCTCTGCCTTCGCCTCAGGTCATGATCCCAGGGTCCTGGGATCGAGCCCCACATCGGGCTCTCTGCTCAGTGGGGAGCCTGCTTCCCCCTCTCCCTCTGCCTGCTGCTCTGCCTACTTGTGATCTCTGTCAAATAAATAAGTAAAATCTTAAAAAAAAAATTCTGGAAGGACTCTCTGGGCTGAGACCTAGTTTGCAACCCGTTATGGTGCTTCCTTCAGGAAAATGGTGAGGAAGTTTGAAATAAGCCACCATGCCAGAGTACACTTGCTCCCTCTGTGGCAAAACCAATAGGAAAAGATGTTGGAGGCCACGATAAGGCTTGAGACAAGGACCAAACCAGGCCCTGACTTGTGTCTCCCTTTAAGTCCAAATACCTTAATAAAGGGTTACGGACAGAAAAGTTTGAGTAGCACTGAGAAAGGGTCTGTGCTATGTGTCGTGCACTCACCTATGTGACTTCCCACACGCACTCCCTGGTTGATTGTATTAGTTGGTCCTTGTTGTTCCTGTACCTCCCATAATCCACTCCCTGGTTGATTGTAACTTCTTGTATCAATAGTAGCTAATGGCATTAGCCGTGACTACCTGGCATCACGAGATTTGTTTGTAGTTAATGTAAAACTTGTTATAGGAACTTGTGGTTATTCCTTCTATTGTGATCTGCCTTATAAATGCTTGTAAGATGTGGAATAAAATCGGCACTGTTGGACATCATCCTCAGTGTCCCTCCTGCCTCATCTCTTTGTCTCTTAATTTCTTTTCACCATCCTTTTACCCTCACGTTTTCATGAGCTGTGAGGAGCTGGCATTGTGGTTCCTACAATGAAAATGGTAGCCTGTGGTGCTTGGACCTACAACACCACTTTTGCTGTCACCATAGAGTCAGCCATCAGAGGAATGGCAGAGTTGAAAGACCAGTAGAAGGTCCACTATTTGAAACAATACTAGTCTATAATAAATGGATTAACTTATGTAAGAAAATTACCTTGGCTTACTGTTAAGTTTATTAATTAGATGTTCCAACATGCGTTTTATTAGTCTTGCTTTCTCAAAACTCTTAGAAATTAAAAACCCTTCTAATTTTGGGTTGCTTGGGAGGGCTCAGCCTGCTAAAGGTCTGACTCTTTATGTTGCTCAGGTCCTGATCTCAGGGTCGTGGGATCAAGCCCGGCTGGGTGTGGAGTCTGCTTAAGATTCTCTCTCCACTCCCCTTGGCCCCTCCCTGCCTTAAAAAAAATCCGTCTCATTTTTATTGGAAAAAAAAATTGTGTGGGGTGCCTGGGTGGCTCAGTGGGTTAAAGCCTCTGCCTTCGGCTCAGGTCATGGTCCCAGGGTCCTGGGATCGAGCCCCGCATTGGGCTCTCTGCCCAGCAGGGAGCCTGCTTCCCTTCCTCTCTCTCTGCCTGCCTCTGCCTAATTGTGATCTCTGTCTGTCAAATAAATAAATAAAATCTTTAAAAAAAAAATTGTGGAAGGAAACTGAAGTGTGGTGCACAGTACCCTTTGCTTTCTCTTCTCTCTGATAGTGTAGGCTGGCAACCCCAGCTGCTATTCTGAAAAGTCTAGGACATCAGGGCTGTGCTGACCAGTGTTATTGAAATGACATGATGGGAAATTCTAGGGGCCAAAGGCCCTGGCAAAAGAAAGAAGTTGTCCAGATCCCAGTGATGAGCTGTCTAGCTTCAAGGTGGCATCTATGTTGATTAATTCAAGCCTTACATTTCTAGAACCTTATCTTCCTCTGTGGGATTATTCTCAAGGCTCCCTGTCAAAACTGGTGGTTTATAAGCAAAGCTCATTTGCACCTGCTTGGAGTGTCAGAAAGCACCCAGCAGCAAGGTGATGACAGTCCTCACCCACTGATGGTGGGAACGCAGTTGGTTTGCCTTTTCTTCCTTCTGCTTGTCTTTATATCTGACTTTTTTACCTAAATAAATACTTACTGGTAATAAGGGGGAAAAATCAAAATTGTTCAGAAGGAAGTATGTCCCACGGTTTTCCATAGACTTGCACATAGAGCCATTCTGTTGTTTATATTGAAAAGATGATCTTTTTTTAATTTCTAAACCTATGAGGGAGACCACACCCCGGTTTGGGCAACACGTTTTCTTGATTAATAATCTTAGTTCCTTGCTTTATTACACTGGAATGACCTTGCAAAATGTACTTCATCTGTCTGAACCCGAGTTATCTTCTCTTGTAGAGGGGCCTGACATCTTCCTCACAGGAGGCTGAGGAGCACTGAAAGTGCTCCTCGGTGCTCTGTGTATTATGTGTGCTCAAGAAACATTTGCTGTTTGTCTCCTCACCCCAACCCTGAGATCTCAGAAAGGATCTTTACAGAGCGACCAATACACAATTCAAAGAATCTTTAGAAGGAAATTCAGCGTCCATCCTGCCCAGCTTCTCCAGAGTCCTGACCACAGCCTCCCTTGCCAACAGCCCCCGAACCTCGGGGGAAGGCAGCCCCCTGCTTCCCTGGGAGTGGGTGAACAACTCCACTGCTAGGTAGCTCCCATCATGATCACGATGTTACTTGCTTTTTATTTAGCTAAAATTCGGCCCTCTATAAAGTTCTCCCTATTGTTCTTAAATCTAACCTCTAGACTCTCCACAAAGAGCTAGTAGGCTCCTTCTTCCACCCCACGGTCCGGCGGCTACCAGCACCAAACTTGTTCCTTGCATACTGTAGAGCTGGGTCTAGGCACCACCAAGGCCACCTTTTTTTTTTTTTTAAGGGTTTTGTTTTTTGGGGTTTTTTGGTAAATATTTTATTTATTTATTTGACAGAGAGAGAGAGAGAGAGATCGCATGTAGGCAGAGAGGCAGGGGGAAGCAGGCTCCCCACAAAGCAGGGAGCCCAATGCGGGGCTTGATCCCAGGACCCCGAGATCATGACAGCTGAAGGCAGAGGCTTAACCCACTGAGCCACCCAGGCGCCCCGCCAAGGCCTTCTTAAGTGACACAAAGCAAATGAGTAACTGAACCAGGCCTCTGGCAACTGGCGAAATTTCCAGTATTTCTGACAACCCTCGGTACTCACTGAGGGCTCTTCCAACTTCGTCTGCTTGGCCTCCCCTTGATAGATTTATTGGTATCTTCCCTCTCCTCTCCCCAAACCCCTCTGCCTTTCCCTTCCCATTTGTGAAGACAGAGGATTTGGTTCCTGTGTGGAGGATGTGACTGAACAAGCTGATTGGGGAAACTGTTTTTGCTAATTCCATCACACCAGGTAATGAAGAAGATAAAATGCAATGAAGTGACAAGTACAGAAATAGAGCAGTCAGGCAATAAAATTAATAATCATTAATTATGGTTTGATCCTTTAAGAAGTCCTATAGGGCTGAACTCAGTGATACCCAACGAGACCATCAAACTGTTATTTCTATATGGAGAGAAAATAGAAGCTCTTTAGGATAATTCTTTTGCATTCCAGGCTTTCAGTGGAAAAGAAGAAGACACACACTGTAGACCATTACACACTCGCCAGACATGATTTTAGGCTATAACTCAATTATCCAGTGATTATAAAGAGCCTGGGAGAAATATTTCTATATCTGGGCAGGGGCATTGTCAGATTAAAGGTGCAGAAGTTCAAAATGCTATTTGTCCCAGCCCTGTGTTCGATTGCAACAATGTGTGTCTTGCCTGTGCTGGTCGATTATTAACAGAGGTTATTGGTCTCCATGGCAAAATTATTGCTCTGAACTTAATCTCATTTATGGAGTACAAAAAAAAAAAAAAAAGACTTCGGGTCAGGGAGAATGTATAAATGTCCTTCACCATCAAGTTTCTGCCTCATTTGAGAAGCAGAAGCAACTCCAAGGACGCAGCTCACGGGCCGATTTGGTTCTCCGCTCCAAAATACGGATTGAACTGGGGACAATTGCTAGGACGTTGTCGCCGATAACTTTGAAGAGACCTTGTGAAGGGGACAGTGAGGTGCCTTTGATCGAAGTCTTATATTATACTTCCCCCAACATGTGCACTGGAGGCTGCGCCAAGTGCCTGGGGGGCACCCTCATCCCCCTTGCCTTGTTCGGCTTTTTGGCTAACATCCTGTTATTTTTTCCTGGAGGAAATGTGATAGACAACAAAGACCACCTTTCTGACGAGGTCTGGTTCTTCGGAGGAATATTAGGAAGCGGGGTCTTGGTGAGTAGGGATGCCTTAAAATCCTGCCAAAGATTTTTGCGGAATCCTTTTAAAATTGGGTACTTTTCGAACAAGAAGATCTTTAGTTACTAACAAGAGCCCAAACATTGCATGCTGAAAAGTCGGTGCCTTATTATTTTTTTCCTTCTCCATTAGGTCCTGACAGGACATCTCCACGAAATTCATTAAGTTATGAATTCCCAAGATTGGGCTGGCAGTTCTCAGGGATAAATTAAATCCCACCAACCAAACTGAGGGCTACATAGTTTCTATCTTCTAACAAGATAGTGCTGGGGAGGGCTGCCTGGGTGGCTCAGTGGGTTAAGCCTCTGCCTTCAGCTCAGGTCATGATCTCAGGGTCCTGGGATCCAGTCCCGCATTGGGCTCTCTGCTAGGCAGAGAGCCTGCTTCCTCCTCCGCACCCGCCCTGCTTGCCCCTCTGCCTACTTGTGATCTCTGTCAAATAAATAAAATCCTAAAAAAAAAAAAAAAAAAAAAAAGTGCTGGGGGCGGTAGACACACACTTTCTGGGAAATTGAAGGACTGAAAACTACCAAGAGAAGCCGGTGTTGGTGGATTTCTCTTCCACTCATCCACTAATGATCTACTTAACCCTCCTTTCCAGTAGAGTTTAGAGACTCACTTTTCAGAACAATTGAGGACATTTCTTTTTATTTCTTTTAAAGATTTTATTTATTTGACAGAGAGACAGCCAGAGAGGGAACACAAGCAGGGGGAGTGGGAGAAGGAGAACCAAGCTTCCCCCCTCCCCCCAGCAGGGAACCCAGGATCCTGGGATCATGACCTGAGCCAAAGGCAGAACTGAGTCACCCAGGTGCCCGGAGGAAAGTGTCTTACTGCGGTCCTACCCCCCCATGTAAATGGCAAATCAGGGCGTCAGATCTTGAAATCTGGCCTCAGTGAAGCTGCAGTTAGGCCTTAGGGACCCTAGATAGTCACACTTGACTACCCGGTGGAGTTCTGTAAATTCATGCCCTTCAGCCTCCCGGTCCCACGGCTTGGACTGCCTGGACGTGAGGCCTCCACCTCCAGGCAGGCGCAGGCTCTCCCTCCCCCGGTCCGACCCCGACAGAGGTGCTTCTCTCTCCGGCAGATGATCTTCCCCGCGCTGGTGTTCTTGGGCCTGAAGAACAATGACTGCTGCGGGTGCTGTGGCAACGAGAGCTGTGGGAAGCGCTTCGCGGTAAGTTGCCAGGGGCAGCCGCCTGCGGGGGGAATGACTCCAGGGTGCACCGCTCCCCGCTCCTCGAGCTGGACATCGTGGGTGTGGGGCCAAGTGAGCGGCCCCAGGCGGTCACCAGCTCCGGAGGGCACTGGGGCATGGAGAAATATGGACGTCTTGATGTGCAAAGTAACAGTAATAATAAAATGTAAACTACCATAGCCCTTATATTCACAGGGTATGAGCATCCTTTTAGCTTTTGCAAAGGGGCAGGGATGTCAGCACCAGAGAACTGGAGTCATGCTGTGTAAAGGACGCAGGCATGGAAGGCAGGGGTGAGGGCTGTAGCTTTCCCTCTGCCACTGAAAGGCCTCCAGACCCTGGGCAAGTCATTTCCCTTCTCCCGCCCTGAGTTGTCTCATATGTAAAGGGAGTGGGGCAGCATGACAGATGATAACAGCCCCTCCTCAAAAGCCCCCTAAATTCTCCATCTACCCCATGGCCAGTTTCACTGTCTCAATGCCCAGATTTTGCCTCAGGACTTCTGTTTCTTGTTTCATGCCTCTTTTAGGAGGTCAGCTAGAGAGATTTGGCCTCACTGTCCCAGCCTGGGAAGTGGGGTCAGGTCCCATTTCTGCACCTGGGTAAGTCACTGTACTGCCCTCTGCCTCCCTTTTACTGGTCTATAAAACAAGGACGTTGAACTAGATCAGAAGTTCCCAAATATAGGACAAGCTCTGCTGGCACACAGGTGTGCTGTACCTTTCAGTAACATAGAAAGTCATTCCCTTGTCAATTCTCCTTCAATCCTTTTGATTTGAGCAAGAGAAACTCAAATTTTGCTGAAAATAAGCTATCCCAAACCCCTCATAATTTCCCTTTCTAACAAAGGAAGAACACATTTCAGGCTCCCAGAACAGAAGCAACATCAACTAAAAATGCAGTAATACTGTATTATCTTTGTTAATGATTCTAGCGCGCCACTCATAGTGGGGATATAAGTTAATAGGGAGGTGACTTAAAGAAAGATATTAAGAATTTGGGTACACTATATGGCAAAAATGAAGAAGGATGAACTGGAATTACTGGCTGGCTAATGAATAAGGCTGGTTCTTGCTCTAACTCCCCAAGGCTCAGTTGTTTATCTAGGAGATTTGGAACCCCAATAATGAGTTATACAAATTTGCCTTAACTTCTAAAGGGAAAGGTGTAGCCATCTGTTCCAAAATAGAATCATTTCTAACATTTCTTTCCCATTAGTATTTGCTCATTTGTTCAATCAAAAAATATTTGTTTGATCAAAAAATATTGATTGAGCACGTATGACGGGCTGAAGCTAGTGTACTGGGCATACAGTTACAGTTTTTTATGTGCAAAGATCATTCAAAGAGAATGTTCTTACATTTTTTTAAAGATTTTATTTATTTATTTATTTGACAGAGATCACAAGTAGGCAGAGAGGCAGGCAGAGAGAGAGAGAGGAGGAAGCAGGCTCCCTGCCAAGCAGAGAGCCCAATGCGGGACTGGATCCCAGGACCCCGAGATCATGACCTGAGCCGAAGGCAGAGGCTTAACCCACTGAGCCACCCAGGCGCCCTGTTCTTACATTTTTAACACCACCATGTGTCCCGAGTAAGCATGGATCATTTTTTAGCATTGATTATTATAACATTTAAAAGCAGAGATGTAAAAATTAACCACAATTTATTTGATATAGTTATGTAACGTGTTTTATGTATGATATTTTTATATAATTAATTATAAAGGAAAGGAAGACATCTATAACTCACTTGCCCTTTGAAATATAATCCTGTTACCCTCCTTTTGGAGAATAAGTTGAAGATGAGAATTTTTTTTTTAAGATTTTATTTATTTATTCAACAGACAGAGGTCACAAGTAGTCAGAGAGGCAGACAGAGAGAGGGGAGGAGGAAGCAGGTTCCCCACAGAGCAGAGAACCTGATGTGGGGCTTGATCCCAGGACCCTGGGATCATGACCTGAGCTGAAGGCAGAGGCTTAACCACTGAGCCACCCAGGCACCCCTGAAGATGAGAATTTGAAATTAAAAAAAAAAAAAAAATTGGCAATTAAGGAATTGGATGAAAAGGAAAAAATGCCATTGCTTAGAAATCTAACAGCTCAGGGGCACCTGGGTGGCTCAGTTGTTCAGCGTTTGCCTTTAGCTCAGGTCATGATTCCAGGGTCCTGGGATCGAGCCTCATGTTGGGCTCCCTGCTCTGCGGGGAGCCTGTTTCTCCCTCTCCCTCTGCTATTCCCTCACCCTTGTGCTTTCTCGCTCTCTCTCTCTCTGTGCTGAGTAGAAGGCTCAGAATTAAAACCAGGGGTTTTGTTTGTTTATTTTTGTTTTTAGGTTTATACAGAACTACAAGGAAAAGGGAAATAATATTCAAAGTATTGTACATAGTTTGTTTTTTAATTAGGTTTATGTGAAGTTCCAAAGAAAAGCAGAAAAGTCATGTTTTTACAAGCTGAGTTAATCAAATCTGAAACTTGTGGTCTGCCCAGTTCAAGTTGTCTGTCTGGGCTCCCTAACACCCCATGGAAGAGGTGCCCTTGGCTTGGGTTGAGGATGAACCCTCCAAACCATTGGTTGATCACCCACAGGGCAGTGCCCATCAAAGGACCTGCTCTGCCAGACCATAAAACAAGGCAGCCAGCCACAGCCACCTGGGACCAGAGACGGGTCACCCACTAGGTGGCCGGCAGAAGTTCTTGGTTTTGGGTTTGGTTCCTACTCAGCTGCCAACTTTTAAAAATGGATAAATTTGGGGCGCTTGGGTGGCTCAGTCCTTAAGTATCCGCCTTCAGCTCAGGTCATGATCCCAGGGTCCTGGGATGGAGCCCACATCAGGGTCCCTGCTCAGTGGGAAGCCTGCTTCTCCCTCTCCCACTCTCCCTGCTTGTGTTCTCCTTCTGGCTTTGTCTCTCTCTGTCAAATAAATAAATAAAACCTTAAAAAAAAAAAAAGGAGAATTTTACAGAAGTATTTAGATATTCTACTTCTTTTTCAAAAAATTCAAAATTGACCTGGGCCTGCATTTTGACATAGCGATGGCCTGCGGTAGACACAGCTGAGCGCTTTGTTTCGGGTCTCTGCCCTCCCCCTCAGGGCCGCTGGGCTCATGCCTCTGCTGAAGAGCTCTGTTTCCTTAACATCCTGAGGCTCTGGAGCACTAAGCAATAATCATTTTTAAAGAAAGGAATCTACAACCATTTTGTCAGACTAAAAAGAAAAAGCTGCAGCATATTTTGCTCAGTACTCTAATGCTGAAGATTCAGATTATTTTTCCAAAGGCTGGTGGCATTCCCCTCCAGGTGTTTAAGGACCATGGGGCTTCTGTGGAACACTGTTTGGAAAATCCAGCTGGGTACAGAGTCCTTTGAGGCAGACACACACTAGGCCAAGGGCTATGGGACTACATCCTGTTCCTGTTCCACAGCCTTGCTCTCATTTGGTTCCTGGCCTCTCTCTCTCTCTCTCTCCCCTCCCTTCTTTGCTACACGTCTCTCAGGAATACTTTTCAGAAGTCAGTTGCATCATTCTCTTCCCTTTCCCTGGGTTTACGTAAAACCAGGGCATAATAATCGATAAATAGTAGCAGGATATGGTGATTACAGAGATAAAGCAAGACAATGAGCTGGAAAAAATCTCGAGGTCACTGAACCAGTATTTCATAGTCAAACTAGAAGATGGAGGCCACTCTCCTCTGAGGCAGAGCAAGCCAGAAGCCCAGCCTCAAGGTCTGCACTGTTTTAAATAAATTAAGCTACATGAGGGCTCTGGGGTGGCTCAGTCCGTTAAGCATCTGCCTTCAGCTCAGGTCATGATCCCGGAGTCCTAGGATCAAGTCCTGCTTCTGGCTCCCCGCTCAGTGGGGAGTCTGCTTCTCCCTTTCCCTCTGCCCCTCCCCCCTGCTCACGCTAGCTCATGCTCTCTCTTTCAAATAAAGAAATAAAATATTTTTTAAAAAATTAAGCTACATGAGAGCCCAGAAAGGGGACAGAAACTGTGAGATGAGGGTGACCTCCAAAATGGGCTTTGAAAACCCACACCTGTGTTTGTTTCTGGGTCTCATCCTCTTCTTCCCCTACAAGAGGTTTTCAGTGGCCTCCTGGAAGTTTATCTTTGGGCGGGGGTCAAGGTCTCTGGGCTCCTGATCTTTAAAAACAAAAACAAAGCTATCAGAGTCCATAGAACAGCTAATTAATTTTAGCCATTCATTCATGTTAAGTCTGTACTTTATTAAGAGCCTTTTGAAGAACTTGGCCTTGACTCAAAGGAATCTCTGATAATAGAACTGAAGGTAAGGCAGGCCGGCATTTCAGCATCCTTAAAGCATATCAGGTAGATAAAGGCGCACCCCACCCACAGGCAGGGCCAGATGGTTGATGGTCCTGCTGTCCAGGAGGATCTTGTCACTTCTTAAATTAGTCCATCACTAGAAGCACTTCTTCCGTGGCCGGCTCACCAGTGCCCCCTAGGGACACCTCCTGTGAGAGCACTTCTGAAGTAAACCCTGAGGCCAGAAGCATGGACTCTTGACATGATGGCCAGTTTGACAGGGATTCAAGAAAGACAGTTCTTTTGAAATAATAGATTACCTTGAATGAAAAAATAAAATATGGAATCCTATTTCTTCACTAAATTTTTTTAGGCTTCAAAATCCTCTGCTATGAAATGGATGTATGATACGCACATGTCCCCTCACAAGGACCGTCCAAGGGTGGGGGAAGCTGGTGCCAGCATTAGAGTAAACAAAAGGGGAGAGGAACACCAGGGGGCTGGGTAGTGAGGACACATAGATCCTCCATAAATGCTTGTGGAATGAATGAAGCAAATGAACGCTCAAGAGGGATTTCAGGTGATTTCCAAACTGATATTATATTATACTATATTATCTCTAACACCAACCCTTTGAGTTAGGCATTGAACTGCCTGTTTTGTACATAGGGAAATTGAGGTGCAGGCAAGTTAAGTTTCTGATGGCTGAAACCCACC